TGATAAATTAATTTTATTAATAAATCAAACATTAAAGCAACATTGGCGTATAAAATTTTCCTTTATAATATATTTAATTCGTCATTGGTGAAAATATGATGTCGATCGTTGTTCTAATATGCATGTACGGTAGGGTTTTTATTCGAATAATTGTATTATTCGTTATGAGCTTAAGCATTCGATTACATTGAAAGTTTATTCGAATAAAATGAATAATTCGGGTAGTATTACGTATAATTCGAGTAAGAATTAGTATTTCATTACGAACAGAAACTCTAGTGTACAGTCAGAACTGATTAAACCGAAGCAAATGTAAAATCTTCGGTTCAATAAATCTTAAGAATCATCTTATAGAGATAAATTTTAAATGTTTATCGTAAATATTTGTTTTATCAAAGCATCGTCTTGACGAGTTTCGACTATACAATCATGTCCATTTATGTGAGGCAATTTTTCGCAATTAAACGTGTTGCTGTAATTTATATCATGTTTTCCTTTTATTTTGGCTTGCAAAAGGCTTTTTTCATAAAAACGTGTCAATATTTTTTTCTACATATAAAAATGAGTTTTCAAACCTTTTTATTTTTAGCTCTAAATTTAGCAAGAAATCAATCTATGATCCTCCAACAAATAAATAACAATGCTTATGTATATAGTACTCCTAGCCGTGCTAATGTTTGTCGCGAAGCAACGCGAATTAAAAGAAAAGGCAGAACAGAAATTGATGAAATAATCAGAAAAAACTGATTACACAATTTAACTTATATAATATACAAACAATGAGATCAAGATGTCCTATTTCTAGAGAAGAATTGACACCCCTTCCTGCGATTACCTATAACGAAAATTCCTGTTAATGCAGCAGCTCAAAAAAAGGTAGCAAATGGAATAAAAATAGCTGAAAAAAAACTTACTGAATTTGAGCAAATTTACAATTTCACAACTGATTCTCAACTTCGTCATGATATGCATGTAAAAATAGCAGACCTTCAAGCCCAAATAAAATCTAATAAAGATAAGAT